GTTAATGTAGCTTAATAAAAAGTGAGGCACTGAAAATGCCTAGATGAGTATTAACTCCATAAACATAAAGGTTTGGTTCTAGCCTTTTTATTAGTTCTTAATAAAATTATACATGCAAGTATCCACCCCCCAGTGAAAATGCCCTTAAACTTACTTATAATTAAGAGGAGCAGGTATCAAGCACACTTAATGTAGCTCACAACACCTTGCTAAGCCACACCTCACGGGACACAGCAGTAATAAAAATTAAGCAATTAACGGAAGTTTGACTTAGTTATATTATTTAAAGTCGGTCAACTTCGTGCCAGCCACCGCGGTCATACGAAGGACTTGAACTAATAAATACCGGCGTAAAGCGTGATTAAGATCTTTAAGCAATAAAACTAAAACTATTCTATGCCGTAAAAAGCCAGAGAATACTTATAATAAATAACGAAGGTAATTTTATAACTTCTGAACCCACGATAGCTAAGAAACAAACTGGGATTAGATACCCCACTATGCTTAGCCTTAAACCTAGATAGTCTACAACAAGACATATCCGCCAGAGAACTACTAGCAAAGCTAAAAACTTAAAGAACTTGGCGGTGCTTCACACCCACCTAGAGGAGCCTGTTATGTAATTGATACACCCCACTAAACCCTACCACCACTTGCTAAGTCAGTCTATATACCGCCATCCTCAGCAAACCCCAAAAGGCATATCAGTAAGCATAATGATAAGACATAAAAACGTTAGGTCAAGGTGTAACCCATGTGGTGGAACCTAATGGGCTACATTTTCTAGCATTAGAAAACCCTCAACGAAAGTACTAATGAAATTTCAGTACTAAAGGAGGATTTAGTAGTAAACTGAGAATAGAGTGCTCAGTTGAAACTGGCCATGAAGCGCGCACACACCGCCCGTCACCCTCCTTAATTTACATATTATAAGTAACCTCCATAAACAGCTACTTATACACCCCATAAAGGAGACAAGTCGTAACAAGGTAAGCATACTGGAAAGTGTGCTTGGAAAACCTCAAAACGTAGCTTAATAAAAGCATCTGGCCTACACCCAGAAGATTTCATGACACTGACCGTTTTGAACTAAATCTAGCCCAACTCAAATAGAAACTTAACCAAATAAAACTTTAATATAAAACATTTGTAGACATAAAGTATAGGAGATAGAAATATTCCATAGATGCGCTATAGAGATAGTACCGTAAGGGAAAAATGAAAGATAACTTAATAGTACCAAAAAGCAAAGCTTAAACCTTATACCTTTTGCATAATGAGTAAACTAGAAAATTTTTGACAAAGGGAACTTTAGCCAAAAACCCCGAAACCAGACGAGCTACCCTAGAGCAATCTTGTTGGATCAACTCATCTATGTGGCAAAATAGTGAGAAGACTTTAAGGTAAGAGGTGAAAAGCCAACCGAGCCTGGTGATAGCTGGTTGCCCAAGAAAGAATTTAAGTTCGACCTAAAAATTACTACCAATAACTATAAATTTAATGTAATTTTTAGTTATAATTAAAAGAGGTACAGCTCTTTTAATTGAGGAAACAACCTTATTTAGAGAGTAAACACCAAATAATTTCATAGTTGGCCTAAAAGCAGCCACCAATTAAGACAGCGTTAAAGCTCAACAATTTATTTCTCTAGATTCCATTAATTCAATTCTACTCCTAAATTTATATTGGGCAAATCTATTCTTATATAGAAGCTAATCTGTTAACATAAGTAACAAGAGAATAAATCTCTCCCCGCACAAGTATATATCAGAACGAATACTCGCTGATAATTAACAACCTAGTAATTATACAAACTCTAGACTATTATATTTACGCTTGTTAACCCGACACAGGAGTGCACTCTAAAGGAAAGATAAAAAGAAGTAAAAGGAACTCGGCAAACTAAAATCCCGCCTGTTTACCAAAAACATCACCTCTAGCATTACTAGTATTAGAGGCACTGCCTGCCCAGTGACCCATGTTTAACGGCCGCGGTACTCTGACCGTGCAAAGGTAGCATAACATTTGTTCTCTAAATAAGGACTTGTATGAATGGCAACACGAGGATTTAACTGTCTCTTACTTCTTATCAGTGAAATTGACCTCCCCGTGAAGAGGCGGGGATTAGAACATAAGACGAGAAGACCCTATGGAGCTTAAATTAATAACCCAATTGTTTCTCACAAAACCAAAAGGCATAACTATAACTATATGGAGAAAGATTTCGGTTGGGGTGACCTCGGAGCATAATTAAACCTCCGAATGATATATACATCTAGACCTACAAGTCGCAATTAAAATCACTTATTGACCCAATTACTTGAACAACGGACCAAGTTACCCTAGGGATAACAGCGCAATCCTATTTAAGAGTTCATATCGACGATAGGGTTTACGACCTCGATGTTGGATCAGGACACCCAGATGGTGCAACAGCTATCAAAGGTTCGTTTGTTCAACGATTAAAGTCCTACGTGATCTGAGTTCAGACCGGAGCAATCCAGGTCGGTTTCTATCTATTTTATTAATCTCTCCTAGTACGAAAGGACCATGAGAGATAAGGCCAACTTCTAACCAGCGCCTTAACCAAACCAATGATATAATCTTAATTTACCTATATCCATTTCTGCTCTAGATAAGAGCTTATTAAGATGGCAGAGCCGGTAATTGCACAAGACTTAAACCCTTGCTGTCAGAGGTTCAATCCCTCTTCTTAATAATGTTTATTATTAATCTCTTATCACTGATTGTTCCTATCCTCCTAGCAGTAGCTTTCCTTACACTTCTTGAACGAAAAGTACTAGGATATATGCAACTTCGTAAAGGCCCTAACGTTGTTGGCCCATATGGGCTCTTTCAACCATTCGCTGACGCAATCAAACTATTTACTAAAGAACCGCTACGCCCAATGACTTCATCTATAACTATATTTTTACTTGCCCCAATCCTAGCGTTATCCCTAGCTCTTACACTGTGGGTTCCTCTACCAATACCTCATTCCCTTGTTAATCTTAACCTAAGCCTCTTATTCATCTTAGCCATATCTAGCCTAGCTGTCTACTCTATTCTATGATCAGGATGAGCATCTAACTCCAACTATGCTTTAATTGGCGCACTCCGAGCAGTCGCCCAAACAATCTCTTATGAAGTCTCTCTAGCTATTATTCTGCTATCAGTGATATTATTTAATGGTTCATTCTCTTTGTCCTCCCTCACTATTACTCAAGAACATTTATGGCTGCTAGTCCCCTCATGACCCCTAGCAATAATATGATTCATCTCAACACTAGCAGAAACTAACCGGGCCCCATTTGACCTAACAGAAGGGGAATCAGAATTAGTTTCAGGCTTTAACGTTGAATATGCAGCAGGGCCCTTCGCTCTATTTTCCTTTGCAGAGTACGCTAACATCATTATAATGAATGCTCTAACCACTATTCTATTTATAGGGGCTTTTCATAATATATCTGTTACAGAAATTTACACGTTAAATTTTATTACAAAAACACTACTTCTCACTATACTATTTTTATGAGTTCGAGCATCATACCCTCGATTTCGATATGATCAACTAATACATTTATTATGAAAAAACTTCTTACCAATAACCTTAGCCCTATGCATATGATACATCTCCATCCCTGTTATATTAGCTAGCATCCCCCCTCAAATATAGAAACATGTCTGATAAAAGAGTTACTTTGATGGAGTAAATAATAGAGGTTTAAATCCCCTTGTTTCTAGAATTCTAGGATTTGAACCTTAACTAAAGACTTCAAAAATCTCTGTGCTACCATTACACTACATTCTAGTAAGGTCAGCTAAATAAGCTATCGGGCCCATACCCCGAAAATGTTGGTTTATTCCTTCCCATACTAATTAACCCATTAGCTTCCATTATTATGTCTAGTACTCTAATTTCAGGCACTCTAATTACTTTAATCAGCTCTCACTGACTTATAGCATGAATAGGTCTTGAAATGAATATATTTGCTATTATTCCTATGATCATAAAAAATAACTCCCCCCGAGCAATTGAAGCCGCAATAAAATATTTCCTTATTCAAGCATCCGCCTCCATACTACTACTTATAGCAGCCTCCCTAAATTTTATATATTCAGGCCAATGAACGTTAACAGAAATAAATGTCTCAATAGCATCCCTAATTATATTAATTGCTATACTGATAAAATTAGGTATGGCACCATTTCACTTCTGAGTCCCAGAAGTTACTCAAGGTACTGTTTTATTGACCAGCCTCATTATTTTAACTTGACAAAAGCTAGCCCCTCTAGCTATTCTTTTCCAAATCACCCCCTCAATTAATGTAAATATTATTCTTACAACAGCTATCCTATCAATTCTAATTGGAGGCTGGGGCGGCCTAAACCAAACCCAACTACGAAAAATTATAGCGTACTCCTCAATTGCTCACATGGGCTGAATAGCTGCCGTAATAATTTATAATCCCACCCTAATATTACTTAACCTATTATTATACTTAATCTTCACATTTTCAGCATTCACCATCTTAATTAAATGCTCTTCAACCTCAACTTCTATACTAACAATAACCTGAAATTCCTACCCATTAATAGTCTCTATCCTATTAATTATTCTCTTATCAATGGGAGGGTTACCTCCATTAACAGGTTTCGTACCTAAATGACTAATTATCTATGAACTGATTAAAAATACTAACATTGCCATAACACTAACAATATCTATCCTAGCCCTCTTGAATCTCTTCTTTTATTTACGCTTAATTTATGCATCCTCACTCACCTTGTTCCCAACAAGTAGTAATCTAAAATTCAAATGGAAAATCAATACCCCAAACAAAATATATTTTTTACCAACAATAGTCTCAATTTCATTACTTTTCCTTCCTGTCTCCCCAATAATTCTTATACTAAGTTAGAGGGTTAGGCTAAATTAGACCGAGAGCCTTCAAAGCTCTAAGCAAGTAAACAATACTTACCCTCTGAATAAGGACTGCAAGACTGTACTCTTACATCAATTGGACGCAAACCAAACACTTTAACTTAAGCTAAATCCTCTAGATTGATGGGGTTTAAACCCATGAACTATTAGTTAACAGCTAATTACCCTACCTCAACTGGCTTCAATCTACTCTCCCGCCTTTGAGTAGGGAAAAAAAGGCGGGAGAAGCCCCGGCAGATTTGAAGCTGCTTCTTCGAATTTGCAATTCAATATGAATACTCACTTCAGAGCCTAGTAAAAAGGAGGAGCCTCCCTCCTGTCTTTAGATTTACAGTCTAATGCCTATTACTCAGCCATTTTACTTTCATATATTAGAACTTCCTTCTATACCCTTTCTTATGTTCATAAACCGTTGACTATTCTCTACTAATCATAAAGACATTGGAACCCTCTACTTATTATTCGGAGCTTGAGCTGGCACAGTAGGTACTGCTCTTAGCCTCCTAATCCGTGCTGAACTCGGACAGCCAGGAGCCCTACTAGGTGATGACCAAATCTATAAGCTAATCGTAACTGCACACGCCTTCGTTATAATTTTCTTTATAGTTATACCCATTATGATTGGAGGATTTGGTAACTGACTGATCCCATTAATGATTGGTGCCCCTGACATAGCTTTCCCCCGAATAAATAACATAAGTTTCTGGCTCCTTCCCCCCTCTTTTCTTCTTCTGTTAGCTTCATCTATAGTTGAAGCAGGAGCAGGAACAGGCTGAACTGTTTATCCCCCCTTAGCTGGTAATCTCGCACATGCCGGAGCCTCAGTTGACTTAACAATTTTTTCTCTTCACTTAGCAGGTGTTTCGTCAATTTTAGGGGCTATTAATTTTATCACCACAGTGATTAATATAAAACCTCCAGCTATGACCCAATACCAAATACCCTTATTTGTCTGGTCAGTAGCTATTACTGCCGTACTTCTTCTACTTTCATTACCTGTACTTGCTGCAGGAATCACTATACTTCTGACAGACCGTAATCTCAACACTACATTTTTTGACCCTGCAGGAGGAGGAGACCCTATTCTATATCAACACTTATTCTGATTCTTCGGCCACCCAGAGGTCTATATTCTGATTCTTCCAGGGTTTGGTATAATTTCTCATATCGTTACCTATTATTCAGGAAAAAAAGAACCATTCGGGTATATAGGAATAGTATGGGCCATAATATCAATCGGTTTCTTAGGATTCATCGTCTGAGCTCATCATATATTTACTGTTGGTATAGACGTTGATACCCGAGCATACTTTACATCAGCAACTATAATTATTGCAATTCCTACAGGAGTAAAAGTGTTCAGCTGATTAGCTACACTTCACGGAGGTGACATTAAATGAAGCCCCGCTATAATATGGGCCCTAGGCTTCATCTTTCTGTTTACAGTTGGAGGCCTTACTGGTATTATTCTTGCTAACTCATCTCTAGATATTGTTCTTCATGATACCTACTATGTAGTAGCCCATTTTCACTATGTCCTCTCCATAGGAGCAGTATTTGCTATTATAGGAGGGTTCATCCATTGGTTCCCCCTATTCACAGGCTATACATTAAGTGAAGCATGAGCTAAAGCCCACTTCATTATTATATTTATTGGGGTAAACTTAACATTTTTCCCTCAACATTTTTTAGGCCTTTCAGGTATACCACGACGTTATTCTGACTACCCTGATGCCTACACCACCTGAAATTCCGTGTCCTCAGTCGGATCTTTTATTTCACTAACAGCTGTAATCCTTATAATCTTCATAACATGGGAAGCATTTGCTTCAAAACGAGAAGTAACTTCAGTAAACCTGATTCATACTAATCTTGAATGAATTCATGGGTCTCCTCCTCCTTTCCATACATTTGAAGAACCAGTTTATATAAAATCCTAACAAGAAAGGAAGGAATCGAACCCCCAAAAAATTAGTTTCAAGCCAACTCCGTAACCTCTACGACTTTCTTACAAGATATTAGTAAAATATTACCTAGCTTTGTCAGGGCTAAATTACAGGTTAATCTCCTGTATATCTTTATGGCATATCCATCCCAATTAGGTTTCCAAGATGCCTCCTCTCCAATCATAGAAGAACTGCTATACTTTCATGACCATGCCCTTATAATTGTTTTCCTAATTAGCTCCCTGGTTCTATACGTCATCCTAGCTATACTTAGTACTAAACTAATACATACTAACACTATAGACGCCCAAGTAATCGAAACTATCTGAACTATCTTACCAGCAGTAATTCTTGTATTAATCGCTCTACCCTCCTTACGAATTTTATATATAATAGATGAAATTAATAACCCTACTATTACAGTTAAAACTTTAGGTCACCAATGGTATTGAAGTTATGAGTATACAGATTATGAAGACCTAATATTTGACTCATACATAATCCCCTCTGAAGAATTAAAGCCTGGCGACCTACGACTTCTTGAAGTAGACAACCGAGTTGTTCTACCCATAGAATTAACTATCCGCATACTAATCTCTTCTGAAGATGTATTGCATTCATGAGCAATACCATCACTGGGTCTAAAAACTGACGCAATCCCAGGCCGACTTAATCAAGCTACCTTATCATCAACCCGCCCAGGATTATTTTATGGGCAATGCTCAGAAATCTGTGGTTCAAATCATAGTTTTATACCTATCATTTTAGAAATAGTTCCTTTAAAAATTTTCGAAAGTTGATCAAGCTCAATAGTCTAAGGCATTAAGAAGCTATTTAAGCATTAACCTTTTAAGTCAAAGACAGGGAACCCTAGTCCCCTTAATGGTATGCCACAATTAGATACATCACCCTGACTTATCTCTATTCTATCAATAAGTGATTTACGTCTATACCTTCTGATACCTATTAAAATCTCAAAAATTCTAATTAATAATGATATTAACTGTCACCCCTCTGAGATTACTAAATCTACAAACCCATGAAATAATAAATGAACGAAAATCTATTTACCTCATTCTCTACCCCTACATTAATAGGACTACCTATTATTATTATAATTATTGCATTCCCTGCCTTACTATACCCTACATCTAACCGTTTAATTAGCAACCGCATTCGAACCCTCCAACAATACCTAATTAACCTTATTCTAAAACAAATAATAGCTATCCATAGCCCTAAAGGTCGAACCTGATCACTAATACTTATATCACTTATTATTTTTATTGCATCAACAAACCTTTTAGGTCTTTTACCCCATACATTTACACCTACTACACAACTATCTATTAATTTGGGTTTAGCAATTCCACTGTGAGCAGGAGCAGTAATTTTAGGCTTTCGTTACAAATTTAAAACATCTGTGTCCCATTTTTTACCTCAAGGTACCCCAATCCTCTTAATCCCCATACTTATTATTATTGAAACTATTAGCCTATTTATTCAACCCATAGCACTAGCCGTTCGATTGACAGCTAATATTACAGCTGGGCACCTTCTCATACACCTAATTGGGGCTGCTACCCTAGCATTATTCTCAATCAGTACCTCAACAGCCCTTATTACTTTTATTATTCTTCTACTTCTTACAATTCTAGAATTTGCTGTGGCACTGATTCAAGCCTATGTCTTCACTCTTCTAGTAAGCCTCTATCTACACGATAACACTTAATGACTCACCAAACCCATGCTTATCATATAGTTAATCCTAGCCCTTGACCACTTACAGGGGCTCTTTCAGCACTTCTACTCACTTCAGGCCTTGCGATTTGATTCCACTATAACTCTCCCCTCTTACTTCTTATTGGCTTGACAACTAATCTACTAACTATATATCAATGATGACGTGATATCATTCGAGAAAGCACCTTTCAAGGTCATCATACACCTTTTGTCCAAAAGGGTCTACGCTATGGAATAATCCTCTTTATTATCTCTGAAGTATTCTTTTTCGCCGGCTTCTTCTGAGCTTTCTACCATTCAAGTTTAGCCCCAACACCAGAGTTAGGTGGCTGCTGGCCCCCTACCGGAATTACTCCCCTTAACCCCCTGGAAGTCCCTCTATTAAACACCGCTATTCTCCTGGCCTCCGGAGTTACTATCACCTGAGCCCATCACAGCCTTATAGAAGGTAACCGAAAACAAATAATTCAAGCACTATCTATCACAATCGCCCTAGGTATTTACTTCACTCTTCTTCAAGCCTCAGAGTACTATGAAACCCCTTTTACTATTTCTGATGGAGTCTACGGCTCAACATTTTTTGTAGCCACAGGTTTTCATGGACTTCATGTTATTATTGGCTCTACGTTCCTCATTGTTTGCCTTCTACGTCAAGTAATGTTCCACTTCACCTCTAAACACCACTTTGGGTTTGAGGCTGCCGCTTGATACTGACATTTTGTTGATGTGGTATGACTATTCCTCTATGTCTCAATCTATTGATGAGGATCTTAATTCTTTTAGTATATCAGTACAGATGACTTCCAATTATCTAGATCTAGTCAAACCTAGAAAGGAATAATTAACCTAATAATTACTGTTACTATCAATGTACTATTAGCCTCACTTTTAGTATTAATTGCCTTTTGATTACCCCAACTGAACCTGTACATCGAAAAAGCTAGCCCCTATGAATGTGGCTTTGATCCAATAAGCTCAGCCCGACTACCTTTCTCAATAAAATTTTTCCTCATCGCTATTACTTTCCTTATCTTTGATCTAGAAATTGCTCTTTTACTTCCTCTACCATGAGCGATCCAATCAAATAACCTTATATTAATATTAAGTATAGCCTTGTTCTTAGTAGTAATCTTACCCCTTGGTCTCGCCTACGAATGAACCCAAAAAGGCTTAGAATGAATAGAATTGTTAGTTAGTTTAAATAAAATGAATGATTTCGACTCATTAGATTATGGTTATACCCATAACTATCACATGCCCGTTATTTACATTAACCTTATTGCCGCCTTCTTTATAGCCTTTATAGGCCTCTTAATTTACCGATCCCACCTAATATCCTCACTATTATGCCTTGAAGGAATAATACTATCTCTATTTATCCTAAATTCAACCCTCGCCCTAAGCATGCATTTTACTTTGTACTCAATGATGCCCATTATCCTCTTAGTCTTCGCTGCATGTGAGGCTGCATTAGGCCTATCACTATTGGTTATAGTGTCAAACACCTACGGCCTAGACTATGTCCAAAACTTAAATCTCTTACAATGTTAAAACTTATTATCCCAACCCTTATATTGATCCCCTTAACATGACTCTCAAACAACAAAAATTTATGAATCAATACTCTAATATATAGCTTCATACTTACACCAATTAGCCTACTCTTACTTAATCAAACCTCTGACACAAGCCTAAACATATCTATCCTATTTTTTTCTGACCCATTATCTACCCCTCTTATTATTCTTTCCTCATGACTCCTTCCATTAATACTTTTAGCTAGTCAATCTCATATATCAAAAGAATCAGAAACTCGAAAAAAGTACTATATCACTATGCTTATTGTACTTCAACTCTTTCTCTTCATGACATTTTCAGCAACTGAAATAATACTATTTTATATTTTATTTGAGTCAACACTTATTCCTACTCTAATTATTATTACCCGCTGAGGAAATCAAACAGAACGACTAAACGCAGGAGTCTATTTCCTCTTTTATACTCTTATGGGCTCATTACCTCTATTAATTGTTCTCACCTACATTTATAATAATTTAGGTACATTAAATCTCCTAATTCTACCATACTATATCATGCCCTTACCGTTCTTATGATCTTCTAAACTGTTATGATTAGCCTGCATAATAGCTTTTATAGTTAAAATGCCCCTCTATGGCTTACACTTATGATTACCTAAAGCACACGTAGAGGCCCCAATCGCAGGATCTATAGTTTTAGCTGCTATTCTTCTTAAATTAGGAGGGTACGGAATAATGCGCATTACAATTTTTCTTGACCCTATCACCCTAAATATATCTTACCCGTTCCTAATATTATCCCTATGAGGAATACTTATAACCAGCTCAATCTGCCTGCGGCAAGTAGACTTAAAGTCCCTTATTGCCTACTCATCTGTTAGCCATATAGCACTAGTAATTGTAGCGATTCTTATTCAAACCCCCTGAAGCTTTATAGGTGCCTCCACCCTTATAATTGCACATGGCTTGACTTCCTCCATACTATTTACCTTAGCTAACACAAACTATGAACGTACTCACAGCCGTACTATAATTCTTGCTCGAGGTTTACAAACCATACTCCCTGTAATAGCTTCATGATGAATTTTAGCCAGCCTAACCAATCTAGCTCTCCCCCCTACGATTAATTTAATTGGAGAATTATTAATTATTTCATCATCATTTTCTTGATCAAACATTACTATACTATTAATAGGCCTAAACATATTAATAACCGCTTCCTACACCCTCTATATACTTATTATAACTCAACGAGGAAATGTAAATCCCCATATTAAATTCGTACTCCCTTCATTTACTCGAGAGAATACTCTAATAGCCCTTCACATACTTCCTCTACTCCTATTAACGCTTAACCCCAAAATCATTATAGGACCAACTTTCTGTAAATTTAGTTTAATTAAAACATTAGACTGTGACTCTAAAATTAGGAGGTAAAACTCCAAATTTACCAAGAAAGAAAAAAGAACTGCTAATTCTTTATATCATACATAAAACTATGGCTTTCTTACTTTTTTAGGATAGAAGAAATCCGTTGGTCTTAGGAACCAAAAAATTGGTGCAACTCCAAATAAAAGTAATTAATACACTATCTATTTTCACCCTCTTATCACTGATTATTCTTTTAATCCCGATCATTATATCATTACTAAACTACCCTAACCCCAATTTACTGCCATCCTACGTAAAACATGCAGTTTCTTACTCATTTTTTCTTAGTATAATTCCTTTATTATTATTCACATCAACATATCCAGAAACAATAATTTCAAACTGACACTGAATATCAGTTCACACCTTTAACTTGTGTTTAAGCTTTAAACTTGACTACTTTTCCCTGATTTTCATCCCTGTAGCCCTCTACGTTACCTGATCAATTATACAATTCTCCGTATGATATATACACTCTGACCCTAACATTGACCGCTTTTTTAAATATCTTCTTCTATTCTTAATTACTATAATAATCTTAGTTACCGCTAATAATATATTTCAGCTATTCATTGGTTGGGAAGGTGTAGGAATTATGTCCTTTTTATTAATTGGTTGGTGACATGGACGCTCAGACGCTAACACAGCAGCCCTCCAAGCTATTATCTTTAACCGAATTGGGGATGTAGGTCTAATTTTAGCTATAGCATGGTTTTTTAATAATTTTAACTCCTGAGAATTTCAACAAATCTTCTTACTAAACCCTCCCAATAATATTCCTTTACTTGGACTCCTCCTAGCAGCAATAGGCAAATCTGCACAATTTGGTCTACATCCCTGACTCCCCTCCGCAATAGAAGGCCCAACCCCAGTCTCAGCACTTCTTCACTCTAGCACTATAGTAGTAGCAGGAATTTTCTTACTAATTCGGTTTTATCCTCTTTACCAAAATAACAGTACGATACAGACATTAATTCTATGTGTAGGAGCCCTAACAACGCTATTCACAGCAGTCTGTGCCTTAACCCAAAATGATATTAAAAAGATTGTAGCATTCTCTACTTCAAGCCAATTAGGACTAATAATAGTTACCATCGGAATTAATCAACCTTACTTAGCATTTATACATATCTGTACCCATGCATTCTTTAAAGCTATACTCTTTTTATGCTCAGGCTCTATTATTCATAACCTCAATAATGAGCAAGACATCCGAAAAATGGGAGGTCTATTTAAACTGATACCATTTACATCTTCTTCACTTACGATTGGTAGCCTAGCATTAACAGGCACACCTTTTCTCACAGGATTTTACTCAAAAGACCTAATTATTGAAGCTATAAATTTATCTCACATCAACGCCTGAGCCCTAATCTTAACTCTAATTGCAACCTCTATAACAGCTATCTACAGCACCCGAATTATCTATTTCGCCCTAATAAACCAACCCCGATTTAACTCGATCATCACCATCAATGAGAATATTATAGACCTTATTAATCCTATTAAACGTTTAGTTATCGGAAGCATCCTAGCTGGATTCTTGATTTCCTACAGCATCCCCCCCACAAATTACCCCCTCATAACTATACCTACATATTTAAAAATAGCCGCCCTAACCGTAACCGTACTAGGCTTCATCACCGCCACAGAGTTGAATATATTAACAACGTACTTGAAATTCTCTACCCCCAATATATACTACAAATTTTCAAATCTACTAGGCTATTACCCTTCCATTATTCATCGTCTAATACCACAAACTAACTTAATTTTAAGCCATAAATTAGCCTCCACTGCCATGGACCTCATCTGATTAGAAAAACTCCTCCCTAAGAATATTTCATTAATTAGTATAACAACAGCCTCCGTTATCTCTAACCAAAAAGGAATAATCAAATTTTATTCCCTAACTTTCCTATTTACCTTAACCCTAACTTTCCTTTTGATAATTTAACGCCCCCGAGTAATTTCTATCACAATAAAAACACTAACAAATAGACATCACCCCGATAATAATAGCATTCAATTTCCCCCACTATATAAAATTGAACCTGCTAGATAATCTTCCCGAATAAAACCAACCTCCTCTCCACTAAATATTACTAAACTCTCTGCACCCCCATATTTTTCATCACTCCCTTTTAAATAAACCACGATCAAACCCTCAGCTAATAGACCTAGACATAATGAACCTATAACAGTCATACTCGACATCCAAATCTCAGGAAACTCTTCAGTAGCTATAGCTGTAGTATAACCAAAAACCACCAGTATACCACCCAAATAAACCAAAAACACTATTAACCCCAAAAATGCCCCACCAAAATATAGTACAACCCCACACCCAACCCCTCCTCCAATGATCAAGCCTAACCCACCATAAATAGGTGACGGCTTACAAGAAAATCCTACAAAACTGACTACAAATAGAACACTCATCAAAAATAAAATAAATTTCACAATTCTTGCTTGGACATAAACCAAAACCTGTGGAATGAAAACTCACCGTTGTTATTCAACTACAAAAACCTTTAATGACCAACATCCGAAAAACCCACCCACTAGCCAAGATCATCAACAGTTCCTTCATTGATCTCCCAGCCCCAACCAACATCTCGTCATGATGAAACTTCGGTTCTCTACTAGGTATCTGTTTAGTTCTACAGATCATTACAGGCCTATTTTTAGCTATGCACTATACATCAGACACAATTACAGCATTCTCATCAATTGCCCACATCTCTCGAGATGTAAACTACGGGTGATTAATCCGTTATTTGCATGCCAACGGAGCATCACTATTCTTTATCTGCTTGTATCTTCATATTGGCCGAGGAATCTATTACGGCTCCTATATATTCTCTGAGACATGAAACATTGGTATCATCCTCCTATTTGCTGTGATAGCCACTGCATTCATAGGCTATGTACTTCCATGAGGTCAAATATCTTTTTGAGGTGCAACTGTTATTACTAACCTACTTTCAGCTATTCCTTATATTGGCTCCAATCTTGTTGAGTGAATTTGAGGTGGTTTCTCAGTAGATAAGGCTACATTAACCCGTTTTTTTGCATTTCACTTTATTTTACCATTTATTGTTACTGCCTTAGTAATTATTCATCTACTGTTCCTCCACGAATCGGGCTCCAATAACCCTACAGGAATCATTTCAGATTCTGATAAAATCCCCTTTCACCCTTACTATACAATTAAAGACCTTCTAGGCCTAATAGTTATAATTATATTTCTTCTTATACTAGTCCTATTTACTCCTGACCTTCTTGGAGACCCCGATAATTTTACCCCTGCTAATCCCTTAATTACCCCACCCCATATCAAACCAGAATGATATTTTCTGTTTGCATATGCTATCCTTCGTTCTATCCCAAACAAACTAGGAGGAGTCTTAGCCCTCATAACCTCCATTTTAATCCTTGCACTTATCCCTCTTCTTCATACAGCCAAACAACGAAGTCTTATGTTCCGCCCACTAAGCCAAATTCTATTCTGAATCCTGACAGCTGACCTATTAGCCCTAACATGGATTGGAGGCCAACCCGTTGAAGACCCTTACATTATTATCGGCCAATTAGCTTCAATCACATATTTCACTATTATTCTAGTAATTATACCCCTATCAGGGGTAATTGAGAATAATCTTCTTAAATGAAGACTACTAAGCTTATGTAGTATAATTATTACCATGGTCTTGTAAACCATAAATGAAAGCTCCCTTCCATAAGCACAAACAAAAATCAGGGAAAAGACACTCAGTCCTACCATCAGCACCCAAAGCTGATATTCTTATTAAACTACCCCCTGATGTACAATTTTCAATATGTATATCGTGCATATATGTCTTTCCCCATAGTACATTTTATGTAATCCCCCCATTTAATTATTTCCCCCATTCATATCTTGTAATATTATTCAATTAATGATATTCAATTAAATAATCTTAACTAGACATAGCGCATCTCTGCTCCGTCCTTGTCAAATGGCGTATCACCTCCAATATCTTTCATTGATCACCAAGCTTCGAGAAACCAACAACCCGCTCGGGTAATGTCCCTCTTCTCGCTCCGGGCCCATTAACTGTGGGGGTTTCTAATAATGAACTTTATCAGACATCTGGTTCTTTCTTCAGGACCATCTCACCTAAAATCGCCCACTCTTTCCTCTTAAATAAGACATACACGATGGGTTAATGTCTAATCAGCCCATGCTCACACATAACTGTGGTGTCATGCAGTTGGTATTTTTAATTTTTAGGGATGCTGTGATCCAACTAGGCCGTCTGAGGCCTTAACACAGTCAAGTCTATTGTAGCTGGACTTCAATTGAATATCCTTAATCCACATAAACATGAATGTTAATTATTTAATTAATGCTTGTTAGACATAAAGAGAAATCATAACTGATTTTTCAGCATACGCATACGCATACGCATACGCATACGCATACGCATACGCATACGTACACGTACACGCATACGTACACGCATACGTACACGCATACGTACACGCATACGTACACGCATACGTACACGCATACGTACACGCATACGTACACGCATACGTACACGCATACGTACACGTACACGTACACGTACACGTACACGTACACGCATACGTACACGTACACGTACACGTATACGTACACGTACACGTATACGTATACGTACACGTACACGCATACGCACAAATACAAGTACACACGTACAAGTATTTAAATACTAGTACTAGTTTTTATAGCAAACCCCCCTACCCCCCTATTACTTAATAAGTACCTAATATACATCCTGCCAAACCCCAAAAACAAGACTTAAAATAGATACCTGATTAAATAATTAACTGTATTTTAATACTATTTTTACTTTCTCCCACCCCTCTATTTAAAGAAATCAAATTTCTTTCTAAGAGCCTTGTCCCTAGATTTGAAA